GCTTCCTCCGCAGGGTGGCTGGGCTCTCCCTTAGAGATAGGGTGAGGAGCTCGGTCATTCGGGAGAGGCTCAGTGTAGAGCCGGTTCTCCTCCACATCAAGAGGAGTCAGTTGAGGTGGCTCGGACATCTTCTTCGGATGCCCCCTGGACGCCTCACTCGGAAGGTGTTCCAGGCACGTCCCAATGGGAGGAGGCCCAGGGGACGACCCAGGACACGCTGGAGAGACTATGTCTCTCGGCTGGCCTGGGAGCGCCTACGGCTTCCGCCAACAGAGCTGGAGGAGGTGTCTGCGGAGAGGGAAGTCTGGGAGTCTCTGCTTAGTCTGCTGACCCCACGACCCGGTTCTGGATAGAGCAGGAGATGACGAGTACGAGATCAATAAATAAACTGGATATATTCAGATGAAAAATAAATGGCACACACCTCTCCCGCAGGACAGCATGACAAAAGGGGAGGGGCTAAGGGGTGCAGAAAATTTAAAGACAACACCACAGAAGAAGTCAAAAAGAGGGGCTTCCACTCTTAAAGTAGCAGCACAGTTAAAACAATTACCTTTTCTAGAGGTTTTTCAGTCAGGTAAGTAAAAATACAAATAAACAAATAAAAATATTTTGTGTATTTATAACAAAAGAGAAATACAACCAGGTTACACTTACTTGGTGCCATGGAGGTTGGTGACTTAGTCCTTAGGGCATAAGGGCACAAGCTTGGAATCCTGAGGTTATGGTTTTGAGCCCCACTCCCAAAGACTGCCACTATGGTTATCTGAGCAAAGATCCTTATCCCTACACTGCTTCCCAGGGGCCGCACAGTGGCAGCACACTGCTCCCTAAGGGGATGGATTAAATGCAGAGAGGCAATTTCTTGCTCTGTACTTGTGACAGTGTGATGACAATAACAGGTGAAAAAAAAAATGGAAAAACCGAAGGCTTACAAAAACTATGTATTTTCTGTCTAAACCTGGGGAGTATACTAAGAAACTGGTTCAGCAGTAGTAAAGCAGGTTAAGTTAACCAGGTGGTATAGGTAAAGCATCTAATAGAAGAGCCAGGAGTCCTAATTTTCTTAACTAAATGACACCTGCAGGTGTATCTAATAGCAGCTTTACCACTTCCTGTAGGTTAACTAAGCCTGGTTTATCACTTCATATTGTTCTTAGTATACAACCCCTGGTCTAAATTTTGCCTAAACTTGGTTGTGTATAATTTTAAATTGTATAGCACTGACCTTACCTGAAGAAGAAAACTAAACGCTTACAAAAATGTTCTGTCTAAAGTTGGTCTAAATTTCTCCTGTACTTGGTTGAGTATATTATTTTAATATACACAACCAGAAAAAAATGTAATTCAAACTCCATTTGCCTTGTTTTACTTTTTACTTATACTTGAAGACATTTATTTTTTACAGTAATTTTCATACTTAAGAACAAGACATTTCAGATACTTTAAGACTTTAACTCAAGTAATTTTCAGTCAGTGACTTGGACTTTTACCAAGAACATATCTGGGAGAGGTACCTATGCTTTTACTTTACTGAGGTTTTTGTACTTTATACAACACTGTCAGATAGTTCTGGGCCATCTATTCCCATAGCTATAATGGCAAAACAGGACACCATAAAAGAAAAAAAAAAGGGAAAAGAGACACTCTAAAATGATCACATGTATGACGTCCAGTTAATGAGCATTGAGCATATTTCCTTAGTCAGGTCTTGAAAGGTTTCCAGAGGTTTTTTTTAGGTATTTAAGAAAAAGCCACTAAGAAGATTTAAAGGTAGTAGGTAGCTCAAAGTCAGCAGGTTTAACCCTAATCTTTATTTTTGTTCAGGGAGACTGCAAAGTATATAACAGATTATATTCCACTTAGTCCTAACATCTTGTTGCTGTCTTCCGGGAGGCTAGCTGAGTGGTTTCTGAGCATTCTGAATAAAACGCATATAATATTATTGTTATTATTGTTACTGTTATTGGTTAAATTGCATAAAATAAAAGGGGAGTCTTGAAATGCCAAACAAAGAGTTTGGAGATGCTTTGTTAATCTTACTAGCCATGACTAAGAAAACAGTAGCGGTGGGATTTCCTTAAACCAAGCACAGGGAGTTTACCTTCTCAATTTTGTTCCACCCTCAAAGTGACCATAGTTGACATGACCAAAGAGAAACAGATCCACATGAAAGTAGGAGAGAATCTACAGAATCATAAGAACCAAGCCACAAGCCCAGACATAGCTTATGACTTAAAATGTTGGGTTGGATCTGTATCCATAAAATTTGTACATGTGTACAAGAATATACAAAACTGCATTCACAATTTTGAATTTACACACACTTTTAAGGAGTCAGAAACTGTATTTTTAGACACATTTATCTCCTTATTTACACACAATAGAGAAACCGCTGTGAAAATGTAAATCCCGGGCTGTTAAGACTGTGAGCTCCCCAAAGCAGGTGAACATATTGTAGCTAACTTAAAGACCTTTTTCATAAATTAGCACCTTTTCAGACCCCTCCAGTGACTTTTGTTGTTTCAAAACAGTGAGTAGCATCAAATCTAGCAACTATTTCTTGTCTCTTTCGAGATTTTGGTGACAAAGTCAGTTTGCGAGCCAGAATACAGACAGTGAGTCAGACACAACATCTGAAGTCAGTTTCTGCAGGCAGACAGAAGAACCACTTTCCTATTTCCCCAATGAAAAATAGTCACATATTAAAGCTTCCGCCGTTTCTCCACTGAATTAAAAAGTGAGATGTAAATATATATATATTTGGCGTTTTTTTTTCTTTTAACCTGTTGCACTAAAATAGATCCTTCCCACATTAAATTCATGCACAGCTTCCTCCACTGTGTTTCTGTTAATTTTCTTTAAGTTGAATTTGATAACATAAGATTGATAAGTATTTATTCATTTATATTAAAATAATAGTGAAAACTAGAGAGTATTACCTTTTTTTTCTTTGTTTTAGAGGTTTCTTTGTCTGTTTTAAATGGATTTGGATTATATTTATTAATTTTCTTTCTTGCCAATGTTGGTTTAGCTCTGATTTTATGTGACGATCTCATAACATAATTCATCCTACACAAATTATACATAACATAATTTTCAGACTCTTAATTTATACATGATCTTATCTCTTGTCAGTCGATCTCACCTTAAAATATTTCTATATCATTGAGCCCTGTACCAGATTTCTGCAGGGTTGATGTTAACCAGGCAGTTGTTGAAGGGTTAACATTCAGTGGTAAAAGTTTAGTTATCCATCACAGTAAAGTGTGACAGGTTTGACCTTGTCTTTTGGCTCCTTCTTGCTGTAGCATTCATATGTTGCATTCATGAGGTCTTTAGCTGTCGAAGCAGCTGCCGTTTATGGATGTTGGAATAATGAGCTAATAGATTTTTCACTGTTAGATTACACAAACTTTTTATGCACCAAAACCAAATGGTGATCCTAATAAACCTTCTGCTTCTTAATGTTTAAAAAACATAAGTTATTATCTTTGGATCTGGGTTTTTGAAAAAGAGGCTGAATATTGAGTCACTTGATTTGAATAGGATTAAATTGATCTGAGATAATACAAAGGCAGCTGTTTTAGTGTATTTGTTTAGGTTCACTTTTTTTTCAAATTTTCCAACAGCTTCCAAGAAACCAGCAATCAGGATGGTTCTTACTGGGAAAACTGGAACTGGAAAGAGTACAGCAGGAAACACCATATTGGGCAAAAAATGTTTTAAATCTAAACCCTCCCTGTCATCAGTAACATCCGCCTGTGAGAAGAACTACAGTCGTTTTAATGATGAGACACTGGTTGTAGTCGACACTCCAGGTCTGTTTTGTACTTTAAAACCAAACAGAGAAACACTGATAGAGATGGCAAAATGCATCTGTATGGCTGCTCCTGGACCTCATGTGTTCCTGGTTGTTATCCAGCTGAACCGATTTACAGAAGAAGAAAAGATTGCAGTGAAAATGATCCAGAAATGGTTTGGAGAAGAAGCTTCCAAATACAGCATGATTTTATTCACTCATGGAGACGTGCTGAGTGAGATGGGAGGAAGAGAAGCAATGGGGGGTTTAATCAAGGAGAATAAAGCTCTCTCTGACTTTATTGATCAGTGCCAGGGACGATACCATGTTTTTGACAATGACGAGAAGAATCAAGCTCAAGTCAGAGAGCTGCTGGAGAAGATCAACCAAATGTTAACAGAAAATGGAGGAAGCTACTACACCAATGAAATGTTCCAAAAGGCAGAGAAAGCCAATAGAGAAGAAATGGAAAGACTTCTGAAAGAACATCCAGGGATGAGTCCTGAAGATGCAAGAGAAAAAGCAGAGAAAGACAACTCATTCATTTGGGACTTTCTTGCAGGAGCTGCTGCTGGAGCTGCTGCTGGAGCTGCTGCTGGAGCTGCTGCTGGAGCTGCTGCTGGAGCTGCTGCTGGAGCTGCTTATGGAAGGAGGGTTGGAGGACCAGCAGGAGCTGCAGTGGGAGCTGCAGCAGGAGCTGTTGGTGGAGCTGCTATGACTGCAGTATCGAAAAATATGTCTTGCAGTGTACTNCTGATCCAACAGTTAGAAGTTAGACGCTGCACCTGCTGAGCACTCTGTAAAACCAACAGTCTCTGGACCCAACCGGTTCCCCCCCTCTGAGAAGAAAGCCTGAAACTCTCCAAGGTATAGTCTGCAAACATCTGAAAACTAAACAACGTTTCCAATCCTCCTGGTTAACCAAACCGTAATCTCTGCAGACGCCTGAGAATCCAGCCCGGACCTGTTTCCTGAACGCAGTCTTATTTTGTGCAAACACTTAATAAACTCTGTTAAACTTTTCATCCGTCTCCTGGTAGTGTTCTGCGTGTGGGTTTGATTCAGAACCAATCATGACAAAAAGAAGCTGAATATTGAGTCACTTAATTTGGATAGGATTAAATTGATCTGAGATAATACAAAGGCAGATGTTTTGGTGTATTTGTTTTGGTTCACTTTTTTATTATTTTTCAAATTTTCCCACAGCTTCCAAGAAACCAGAAATCAGGATGGTTCTTACTGGGAAAACTGGAACTGGAAAGAGTGCAGCAGGAAACACCATATTAGGGGAAACAAGTTTTGAATCTAAACCCCGCCTGTCATCAGTAACATCCGCCTGTGAGAAGAACTACAGTCGTTTTAATGATGAGACACTGGTTGTAGTCGACACTCCAGGTCTGTTTTCTACTTTAAAACCAAACAGAGAAACACTGATAGAGATGGCAAGATGCATCTGTATGGCTGCTCCTGGACCTCATGTGTTCCTGGTTATTGTCCAGCTGAACCGATTCACAGAAGAAGAAAAGATTGCAGTGAAAATGATCCAGAAATGGTTTGGAGAAGAAGCTTCCAAATACAGCATGATTTTATTCACTCATGGAGACCTGCTGAGTGAGATGGGAGGAAGAGAAGCAATGGGGAGGTTAATCAAAGAGAATAAAGCTCTCTCTGACTTTATTGAAAAGTGCCAGGGACGATACCATGTTTTTGACAATAAAGAGAAGAATCCAGCTCAAGTCAGAGAGCTGCTGGAGAAGATCAACAAAATGTTAACAGAAAATGGAGGAAGCTACTACACCAATGAAATGTTCCAAGAGGCAGAGAAAGCCAACAGAGAAGAAATGGAAATACTTCTGAAAGAACATCCAGGGATGAGCCCTGAAGATGCAAGACAAGGAGCAGAAAAAAACAACTCATTCATTCGGGGCTATGTAGCAGCAGGAGCTGGTGTTGGAGCTGCTGTTGGAGCTGCTGTTGGAGCGGGGGTTGGAGGACCAGTGGGAGCTGCAGTGGGAGCTGCAGCAGGAGCTGCAGGTGGTGCTGGTGTGGCTGCAGCATCTAATAATATGTCTTGCAGTGTACTTTAATTGACCTGACTTTTTTATCATTCAGAAGCAGCCTCTAAAAGGCTCTGGGACAACGATAAAGAGATAAGAGAGGCTCCATTGTTGTAAAAATTATGTGTGTTGTTTTTGATCATATCATATTCTGACTTTTTAACTAAATGTTTCATATTTATCCTAATTTGTAATCATTTAATCTTAAGTCCTCATTTATTGGCTGGTTTGAACATACTGTAAGTTATATGTGTGGTTTATATGAACTTATCAACAGATCAGTAATAGACAATAAAGGGGAATTGTTGATTCAGTTATTTTAACACATTCATCTCCCAAACCTTTGTGTGATTTAATATTCATAATTGATCAATAAATGCACACCTGGTAAATAACAGTCTGTGTTATGTCTTATTTTGAATTATCCCTAAATCTTCTCAGATTGTCCCATAGTGTCTGAAGCTCTGTCCTCTGCTGATGTCCTTCTGTTGTTTTCAGAATCAGAGCAAAAGGCTGACGTCAGAGTGGTGCTGGTGGGTCAGGAGAGAGTTGGGAAGAGCTCAGCAGGAAACACCATCCTGGGAAAAGAGGCATTTGACTGTCAGGTCAGCTTCATCCCAGTGACTCTGAGAAGTAAGAGAATGGATGGAGAAGTTCTGGGCCGCAGAGTCTCTGTGGTGGACACCGCAGGGCTCTGCAGCTCCCGTCTTTCTGCAGAGAATATCAAACAAGAGCTGGAGGAAGCTGTCAAGCAGAGCTCTCCTGGTCCTCATGTTTTCCTCCTCGTTCTCCAGTTAGGAAGGTTCAGCAAACAGGAGCAGGAAGGGCCAACAATCCTGCAGAAGATTCTGGGTCCTGAGGTCCTCAAACACACCATGATCCTGTTCACCTACGGAGATCGACTGAAAGACACTGATATAAACTTGGATCAGTTTGTTAGAGAGGATCAGAACCTGCAGAAGCTGCTGAAAAGCTGCAGTGGGATGTACCACGTTCTTAACAACAATGAGATGGAAAACAGGAAGCAGGTCCAGGATCTGCTGGATAAAATAGATCATATCTCAGGNGTCCTTAAACACACCATGATCCTGTTCACCTACGGAGATCGACTGAAAGACACTGATATAAACTTGGATCAGTTTGTTAGAGAGGATCAGAACCTGCAGAAGCTGCTGAAAAGCTGCAGTGGGATGTACCACGTTCTTAACAACAATGAGATGGAAAACAGGAAGCAGGTCCAGGATCTGCTGGATAAAATAGATCATATCTCAGGTGGAGGTAGAAAATATTATGAGAAAGGTTCTCAGTCTGATGGATTGTGGTTTGGAAATATTTGCTCATTTCTTCACCAATCCACCCTCTCTGTTTTTTTTTCTGTCAGAAGGTTTTTTGGAAACATTCACCAATATTTTCACACAATACCCCTCCTTTGCTTTTTGTTTGTTTTCTTTTTTATTTCATGGCGGTTTCTTACAAATTAGGATATTTGATCTGATCTTTATGTAGCAGGAGCATAACAGAAGTGAAGCATAACAATAAAAAACTAAGAATGGTTACACATATATATGGTTATTATATAATATAACCACTTTGTTGTTTTCTCCCTTTTCGTCTTAGGACAGTTTGATTATTTCCATCACTTTCTTCTTTTCAAACCATCTTTCGTGATTTAGTCACATTAGGTTGTTTATTCTCATACCCCTTTCTTGCTTTTGCTTTTATGCATATTATCAGCTGTACTTTTGCAAAGTAAATATATCTTTGGTTAATAATCATTCAAATTTAACTTTTGTATAATTCCTAAATAAAATATGTATGCAGCTACAGGAGTAGTTCTCATTTATTCCAGTTAATGATTTGATTTCAAAGTTAAATTCTAAATAGATATGGAAAAGTTTATACCAGACATTTGTAATAATTCTTTTTTTAGTAAATAAGTAAATAAATAAAAAAGTGTGTACTTTCTATGTTTGAATAACCTAGTAAAAGAGAAAATGTTTAGTTCTGTCAGATTATTGCATATTGTTGTTATGGGAACACATTTAAGGACACCTTGGGAAGCAGGAGAGAGTGAAATATTTTTGTAAAGACTGAAGTCAACAGCGCTTGAAGTTTACCCTCTAAGTTCAAGGATTGAGGTCTACATTTAATCTTTATTTGCTTTATGCTTGCTGAAATGTATCTAACTGCATGTGGAACAAACTAAGAAGAGATTGTCTGTTTCGGACTGATGAAGCTTCCCTTTATTCTGAATTTTTTTCCCATTTCTTTTACAAGACTGTCATGATATGATGGAGTTTTATTTTTGTTTATTTCTGTCAGTGAACAACAGTGTTGGGAAAGTTACTTCCAAACTGTAACTGTAATATGTTAAACCTTACAGTTACCTTTCTAAGAAAGCAATACTTTTCTTTACAATATTACCATCTTTGAAAAGTAATAATTTACTGAATACTTTTGATTTACTTTCACCACAATAAACATTTAGGAAAAAGCATTACAAAATGAAGTTGTGCAATATTTTGTCATGAATAGAGGAATCACAAAAATATAATGATATAGAATAATTACACACCAAAAACTTAACACAGCATGACACTGTTGTTTGACAAATACCTAAAGGCTAAACAATATTTTTAATTGTATAAAAATATATTATATTACATTGTGATAGTATAAAAAAATTATAAAAATCATAAAACTAAACCAAACAAGCAAACCTAAAATCGTCATGATTTTGGCGCTGATGGCTGTCTAAATTGCACATTCATTAACCTGTCTAGCTTTGCCCTGTTCCTCATTACTCATCATTTTGATTCTGAAATATTAGTAATAATGTTATAGCCTGGTGAGACCATCCTGATCTTGCGAGCTTTCAAGGTTTCACTCGCAGATCAGTCTGGCTACTTTCCGTTAAAGAAAATTTGGAGCCGTTCACCAAACGAACGTCCAATCAGCGTTGGCTTTGAGGCGGGTTGAGGTGTGACGCAACGAGAAGTGCGACAGTTCAGTCTAAAGAACATGGCGGCTTCAGCCGATGAAACTAGCGTTAGCGTGGCTATCCAGCAAGTTTTATCGGAATTACAGAGTATTTCTTCACTGAAAGAAGAGCAAAACACTGCTCTGGAGGCTTTTCTCAGAGGAAAAGATGTTTTTGCTCTTCTACCGACTGGTTTAGGCAAGAGTTTGATCTATCAATTGGCTTCTCTTCGTCGTCGCTCTGTTAGTACGTCATATGCTTCGTTGATCTGATTGGTTTATTTTGCCCGTCTATCATCCAACCAATCAGCTAACCAGTATTTTTGACCCTTCCCAAAATTATTTCAACGGAAGGTTTCCAGATGGATATGCGGAGCAAATCCATCTGGTGCAGGTTAAAAATGTTATGGATAAACTAGGAAAAATTTGTCACTCACTTCACTCAAAAAGTGCTTTAGGAAACATTGACTTTAAGAAAATACCAGACTATGAGCTGCCAATTGGCTATTAAAATGAAACTAAACACTGGATAAAATATCTGAGTATACAGTAGCATAATATATAGCCTACAGTATAATGGGACATTTTCATTTAGATATATCACTGAATCAAAAAACAAACAAACATGAAATAAGCTGTTAATCAATAATAAAAACTTTAATTACAGTAAACCGATTCCTTAAAACATATTGCGACTGGTAGGATAGAATTTGAGATTCTGGGATCAGCATTTTTCTTCCTCCCCTTTCTGCTAAAGTAGACCTGTGGTCTATCTCAGTCGGAACAACCCAAGTCCCTTCCAGAATACAGGGCTTAGTAATCCGGCAGAGTTAGGCAGGTGAGTGAAATGAGCAATTAGGTCAGCTATCAGGGTAGTAATGATGACAAAAGTGTAAACAACTGGAGGCCATTTCATTTTATAGTGATCACTATTGAGAAAAAATGCTTTTCAATATTGATATGTCTATAAAAAAGTTTACATTTTTTTGAATGGTAAAAAGAGGAAATTTGCCACAGACTCTGTAATGATGCCAAGTGCCCTGTCCATGAACATATTTTTATGCTGCTTGCATGTCACTGGGAAAGAGAGGGAAGTGAGGGTTGAGGAGACAGCTGCTGCCAGTGGATCACCTGTTTAGATGATGAAGGAGGGACAAAGTCAGTTATTTAATGTAAATATCATGCAAAACATTACTAGCTTTTAGCTGATATTAACCCTCTGAGGACTATGGCGTGTTCCTGTTGCCTGGTCTGTAAAATAAAATTCTTAGTTCTGTGAGCTTTCTGGTGTAGTTTCTTTCCCTCTTTGTTATTAAGAGAAACACAATGTTTTTGCTATTCCAGTTCCCCCCTTAGGAAAGAACAAAAAAAAGGCGTGCCTATGAGAAATAAGGTTGATTCTGGCCAATTTTAGGTTGTGCATTTCCTGTTTTTATTACCTTAAGGAAAAACAACAAAAAAGGAGTACCAAATGGGAATATTGAGTTGAGATGGGCTGTAGGGATTCTTTAAAAATAAAACTTTATATAAAAAATATAACCGCGGATGTCTGGGGGACAGTGATTCACCTACATGTTATGAATGTTGGCGTACCATAAATGATAAATTATGAACAGTTTAGCTTGTGTCTTCAAGTCGTTGCCCATAGGAAGATGTTACTTGGATATAACCTAACCAAATATCTTCAGAACAGCTCCAAATAACAGAAAACTCATATGGGTGAGTAGAATATGATGGAATAACGTAAAATCAAACGCTCAATGTAGAAAAAACGGCATTCCCCTGTAACCAATAACAGTAGGACTCTATGAGGCATATTATTGCTCTACTCAGCCCGTCATTGGCTGACAGGTAAGGAGCGCTTGTGATACTTTGTGGGCTATCCCTGAGTCAAATCGAATCAAACAAAGATGTTTTGTTTTGTAGGCAGGTGATGAAAACAAACATTGCAGGCAAATGTTTTAGCAGGTATGTCTTATTAGCAAGATGATAAGCATTAGCTATGACCAGCAAACTTTTTTTTATGTAAAAAAAAAAAAAAAAGGATATGGTGCTATTTTCTTACCACGGAATATTTGTATTATGAAAATCCTGGATTACTATTACCGTAAGCTGTGGACTCTTATGGACGAATGGAGAAGAAAAAATTGAAGACTGGATTTATAATATGGCTTCTGGATACTTTTAAATGATGTTGCAGCTGCTTTTTCCTTTTTTACTTTTTAAGCTTTTTAACAAGGTCTAACATGTCTATATTGGTTAAAGTTTAACTGTTGTTATTTTCATTCGTTGTTAGGTCAAGTTGGTACGTCAAAATATTTCAAACCGATAGCGGGCGAACCGTTGGATGTTAAGACAAGCATTTTCCTCGGTGGCTGTTTCTGCTGCTGTCTCTATGTAACAACATGGCTACATAAACTGGTTTGGGAACACATCCCTTACAAGGTGGTTTATTTTTGTAAGAGATTCATATGCTGATAAAATTCCTAAAAGCTTCCTGTTGTTGCATGAAAAGGACAAATTTTGGTCTCATGATTTCCAAGCATAGTATGTCTGGAAAAAGAAAAAAACTACGATTAGGTTAGTTGAGCAGTTGCGGTTTTTCACAATCAGTTTGAACTGGAATATTCTGGTCCAGCTGGGGGGGCAATGACTGACTCTGTTCCTCAACTATAACATGCACAAAGAGAAAAACAACTAGCAAATTGCTTCACTATTTTTCTTTAAACCTTCATGTTATAACCTGAGTAATATAAGTAATATAAGGAGTAATAGAAATAAATGAGCAATATGTAACTGACTACAAAATGATAAGAACAATAAAATCACAAAATCTCCAACAAGTAAATATCTAAAATGTTTTTTTTTTTTCTTAGATTTAAAGTTTTGTCTTATTATACACATAAAGATTTCTGAGTTACACAAACAGATATTTTTTATCTCTCCTGGTTTATGAATTGTTTAAACCTTCTTTTTTGGGGGGGAAAGAGACAGCATTACTACCTAAGTATGCTCTGAGCAACACAATAAAAATAGACCTTATCAACTAAGCGTAGTTGCTCACTGATAGTCTTTAACGTCCCAAAAGAGGATATAAGTTTTAAAACAGTATTTTCTTGTCAAACAAATAAAGAATCTAAGTTTTTCTTAAACAAATGTGTATAAAAAAAAAAAATATAAATCCAGCACAGTTCAGGTGTGGAAGAGACTCAGCCTCCTTTAAGTCTACATTAGGCATGAATAGGCAAATACAGGCTTTTGTTGACATAACATTGCTGTCTATAACTAACCACATTCTTTAGATGTCAGAGCGTGAGGGAGGAGCCAAGAAGTATAAAAGAGCAGGCTTAGATGGCAATAAAGCTACTCATAAGGAGAACAAATCAGCAGCCGATCACAGCTCAACTTAATGTATAAGACAAACATGGCCACCAATATTCCTACCTCGGGTAAGTATTTTAATTATTGGAGATATATTTATCAAGATATTAGTAGGATTCTTTCTCTGATTATGGGAAACAAATAGCCAAACACAAAATAGAATGTAAATAAGGCTGTGAATGTCTTAATGGATGGATTTAAGTGTTATTTGCTTTGATGACAATTAAATTATTTTAAACTATCAAAGAAAATGTAAAAACAATCCCCTATTTACCATGAGATACTTTAACCATCCTGTTTTAAGGGACTAATCAGATCCTCCTAGTTAACTGAAATGATCTCTCAATCTGTTTTGGACCTTTAAGTTTATAGAAATTTGCAAAAAGTTTAGCTAACGTTCCAACATTTAATTGTTAATAATTAAACTTTATTGATCTTACAAAGGAGAAATTTACCTCCGCATTTAACCCATCCCCTTGGGGAGCAGTGGGGTACCTGTGAGCAGTCGGGGGTTAAGGATCTTGCTCAGAGACCGAAAGTGGCAGTCTGTTGGAGTGGGTTTTGAACTCACAACCTCCAGATTCCAAGCTCTACGCCCTAACCACTAGGCCGCCACTCTCCAACACATATAAAGTAACCCTCCTTGATACTTTATATGTGTAAGATAAACGTTAATATATGAAAATTGTGATGAACTTTAAATTAAAAATGCAGGTGGTGCAGTGGTTAGTGTGCACAATCCATGTACAGGTCGCCTTAGTCCTTGACGCGGCTGACCCGGGTTTGAATTAGACTTGGGGTCCTTTGCCACACGTCTTTCACTTTTTTTTGTCCTAAATAATAGCCTGATTGCAGGTATTTAAAAAAAAATCACGATTCATGAGGTGTTATGTCTCCTTTAGCTCTTGCAAACTCACAACTACTTGTTTATTTAGAACCTCCCAATCCAGACCTGGCGGCATGGGCGGGCATTGTGGGGCTGTGCCCGCCCACGGAGGCGCCCGTGCCCGCCCTGGACTGGCAGCCATCTTTCTTTTTTTCTTTAACTCAGCGTAGCCAGCTTTCTATTATTCCTTTCTCATTCTGTCAATCATACAATTCAACCAATCAAACCGACAACTAAAGACAACATCCAATCAAACAACAGAGGGGGCGGGAGTCGCGGGACACTGAGTCAAACATACTTAACGTTCGCACATGCTTTAAATACGTCTGGTCACCAGCCAGTGCGCGTCGGTGTGGATATTCGGGCTTAAAGCAAAGCAATAGAAGGACAAGTACTGAAAACAGAGTAAATGAGAGTGGCCAGGGAGCAGTTTCTGCTGGAAATGTAAGCAAGACAGTCAGCACTGAAGTAAGAAAGATGCTTTTCCAATCAGTTTATTTTTAAATAAATCAAATGATGACAATAGAGTTTCAGGTGCAATATAGTCATTCCCATTTCTCAGTGTAAATATTATATATTGCATGCTTTCTCTTTCTCCTGCAGGGTAATTTGTCATGTTTGGCTTAAGGTGCCTAACCCACATGCAGAACACTCAGAGGCAGGATAAAAGTTCAAAGGTTTATTGAAGTGTTTGAACACAATAAATTAACAGATCCAGAGGGGAACTCGTCTGGTCACGAGTGGGTTCTGAAAAGCACACAGATTTATCAGATCCAAGACTGGTGACGAGTGGGTTCACTGCAGAGGGGGACAGAGAGGTTAGTGGAGGTCCAGGTATTTTGCTGGTTGAGAGTGAGAAAGGCTGTACTTGTTGTGGAGTTGAGCAGAGCGGCAGAGGGGGGGATCCTTGAGGGTCCAGAGGCTGTCGGCAGGCTGAGGGCTTGGCAGAGGCAGAGCTTAATTTGAGCGTTGGAAGATAACAGATCTGAGTTTCCTTCCAGAATCTTCTGAGAGCGGGCAGGCAGAACTTTGACAGGAATAATTCTCCAGGGTTCTTCAGAGAACGGACAGGCAGATAACTGGCAGAGAAACTCTTCAGGCTTTCAGGTTTCAGGCAGGTTCAATCTAGGAAGCAGAGAGAGAGAACAGATCAGGCTCAGGTTATCAGGGAGTCAGAGGTTCAGACAGGCTGGTTGGCTCAGGCTTGCTGACCGTTACTGGCAAACACTCTGGCACTGGAGAGAAGTCCTCTGCCTCCTTAAATACGGATCTCCTGATGAGCAGATGAGCGACAGGTGGTGAAATCAGCTACGGCTCCAGGAGATCTCGTACGCCCTCTGGTGGAGAAAGTGGACAGACCTCCAGATCCCAACAGTACCCCAATGACCTCCTCCTGGCGGTCCAAACGAAGTAGATGGCAGAGACTCACGGTATTCTTTAATCAGGGCAGGGTCGAGAATGAAAGATCCAGGAACCCAAGTGCGATCCTCCGGACCGTAGCCCTCCCAGTTGACCAGGTACTGCCAGCCGCGGCCCCGGCGACGGGAGTCTACGATCCGGCGGACGGTGAAAGCAGGGTGACCATCAATGTCCCAGGCGGGTGGAGGGGAGTCGGACGGAGGGCACAAAGGGCTGGTCCGGACAGGCTTAATCTGAGAGACGTGGAATGTTGGATGGATCCGGAGAGAGGATGGCAGATGCAGGTGGACGGCAGACGGGTTGATAACAGACTCGATTTTGTACGGACCGATGAACCGTGGAGAGAGTTTACGGGACATGGATTTGAGAGGGATGTCACGTGTGGTGAGCCAAACCTGTTGTCCGGGTGTATAGGTGGGAGCAGGACGTCGTTTGCGGTCTATTTTGGGCAGATGTCCAGTTCAGAGCGGCAATGGTGTCTTTCCAAATCCTATGACAACGGTGGATGTGGTGCTGAATTGATGGAACGGAAATTTCCTTTTCGTCGGTGGGGAACAAGGGTGGCTGATAACCTAGGGAGATTTCAAAAGGGGACGGACCGGTTGCACAAGATGTGTGAGAGTTGTGTGCGTACTCTACCCAGTAAAGGTATTGGCTCCAGTAGATCGGGTTGGTTGAAGTAAAGCATCGGAGGGTTGATTCTAGTTCCTGATTTAGACGTTCTGTTTGACTGTTGGATTGTGGATGATAACCTGATGTTAGAGAGATGTTAGTGTCAAGAGCAGAACAGAAGTGTTTCCAGACCTGTGCGGTGAATTGAGGCCCTCTGTCCGACAAAATTTCCTGGGGAATACCATGGAGCTTGAAAACATGTTTGACGAGAAGCTGCACTGTTTGGAAGGCAGTCGGAAGTTTCCTGAGGGGAACAAGATGGCAGGCTTTTGAGAATCGGTCTATTATAGTGAGGATGGTGGTCATACCTCTAGATGCGGGCAAACCGGTTACAAAATCCACGGCTATGTGGGACCAGGGGTGAGATGGAACAGGTAGCGGATGGAGAAGACCAGAGGGAGGTTGGTGTGAAGGTTTATTTCGAGCGCAGATGGGACAGGCTAGGACATACTCCTTTGTATCTTTGTGAAGGGATGGCCACCAGAAACGGCGAGAGATCAGGGGCAATGGTTCTGCTTACACCGGGGTGAGCTGAAAACTTAGCTGAATGCAACCAGTGGATGAGACGTGACCTGACAGAAGAGGGAACATAGGTTTTGTTGGGTGTACCGTTACCTGGGTCGGGTTCAGAAGCTTGGGCCAGTTTTATTAGATCAGAGATTTCCCAAGAAACAGTAGCCACCATGCAGCTGGCAGGGAGAATAGAGTCCGGAGTTTCTGGTTTGTCAGGAGAATACAGGCGTGAAAGAGAGTCGGGTTTGATGTTCTTGGAGCCAGGCCGGTAGGAGATAATCAGGTTGAATCTTGAGAAAAATAGTGACCAACGGGACTGACGGGGATTGGATCTCTTAGCAGATTGAATGTATGATAGGTTTTTGTGATCTGTCCATACCAGAATGGGATGCTCTGCGCCCTCCAGCCAATGCCGCCATTTTTCCAGAGCCAGTTTAATTGCTAATTGCTAATTAATTCTCTGTCTCCGATGTCGTAATTTTGCTCTGGGGGCGAAAGTCTGCGGGAGAAAAATGCGCATGGATGAGCTCTTCGGTCAGAATCAGATACTTGCGACAAGACTGCCCCCACCCCAGAATCAGAAGCATCCACCTCCAATATGAACTGCTCGGAGGGGTCAGGTTGGATGAGGATGGGTGCACTAGAGAACAGAGCCTTGAGTTTTTTTAAATGCAGCCTCAGCCTCCGCAGACCAGTGAAAAGTCCTTTTAACAGATGTAAGGGCAGTCAGAGGCTGAGCTGTCTGACTGTAATTTCGGATGAACCTTCTGTAAAAATTTGCAAACCCCAGAAACCTTTGTAGTTGTTTACGGTTCTCAGGAGTGGGCCAGTCCAGAACCGCCTTGATCTTGTCCTCAGACGGCTTCACCTGCCCGCCCTCGAGCACAAAACCTAGAAAGGTGACAGAAGGACGGTGAAACTCACACTTCTCAGCTTTGACAAACAGCTTGTCTTAAGGAGTCTTTGAAGAACCAAACGGACGTGTTTCTTATGTTTAGACATGTTTTTGGAGTAGATCAGAATGTCGTTGATATAGACAAAAACGATATTTAGAAAATCTCTCAGAACATCATTAACCAGGGCCTGGAAACAGGCAGGGGCGTTGGTCAAACCAAAAGGCATTACTAAGTACTCGCATTGCCCTAGAGGAGTTTTAAATGCAGTCTTCCATTCGTCTCCTTCTCTGATTCTGAGGAGATGATAGGCGTTTCTTAAGTCCAACTTGGTGAAAACTGTAGCTCCTTGGACGGGTTCAAAGGCAGATGCTAACAGGGGTAAAGGGTATTTGTTCTTAACTGTAATCTGATTCAGACCTCTGTAATCAATACAAGGTCGCAGAGATCCATCCTTTTTTCCCACAAAGAAGAAACTGGCCCCGAGAGGAGATGAGGAAGGCCGAATTATACCGGCGGCTAAGGACTCATTAATATACTTTTCCATGGTTTCCCTTTGGGCTTGGAGATATTATAGAGTCGACTGCTAGGGAGGGGAGCCCCAGGTAACAGGTCAATAGCACAGTCATAAGATCTACTGTATGTGGGGGAAGAGAAAGTGCACTGACCTTACTGAAAACTGGTGCCAGGTCGTGGTAGTCAGATGGTACTAAAGAAAGATCAGGCGGGTCAGCCTCCTGACGACTGGCCGGAGACTGAGTCGAAGGAGCGGCAGAGCGGACACAGGAAACATGGCAGGATGCAGACCAAGACTCAACATGTCTTTTAGACCAATTGATGTGTGGATTATGATGTTGAAGCCATTCATAACCAAGGACTATGGATGAACTGGCAGATGGAAACACGAAAAAGGATATTGTCTCTCTGTGATTACCAGAGATTAACAGTTCGAGCTGCTTAGTTTGGTGTGTGACCTGAGGTAATCTTTTACCGTCGAGGGCCAAGACTCTCAGAGGTTTATTCAATGGGGTGGTCTCTATGTTCAATTGTTAAACCAGACTAGAGTCTATTAGATTTTTCTCACATCCAGAGTCTATCAATGCAGATAAGGTGAGGGA